CACTAATACATACCATCCATCCACAATCGCCATCATCATCAATGCAAAAACTCACCATCTTTCAAAATCATCATAAAAATGTCCATTTCAATTCTGTTAATAATACCTGGATAAGAAGAAAGAGACCGAAACGGCCACAGCGGCGAACGCCGAGAAAATGACGTTTTGTGTTGAGTGCGGATGGTCTCGATGGGCGAAATGCGCCAACAACGAAAGTAATGCGAATGCGAGTAAGCTTTTCGTGAGCTGAATGCATGCGGAAATGAGCGAAAAACACGCAGTGCCACCGAACACGTGCATCTCCACTTGTTCCATCACGTGCAATAGCATCGTGTTCACCTTGAAATTGCATCATCATCATAACACATCTTTGAATGTTTCCTTCAGATTTAAACGAAAAAAAAACAAAACATGTCAAAGGTTTCCATAATCTAAATTTCCTTTTGCAAAGTGAAATTAAATATTTTTACTTGCACTGCATTCTGAATGAATTCTAGCAAACATTCAGTGAATTAACCCAGTATATTCGGAACGTTTTAATGTTCTTTCGATTGAAAGATTCGAATTTCTCAAGTCTGAATTTGGAGAATTTCATGCATTTCTTAATGTAGAGTAACAAACTCTCTTCCATCTGACTCGCCACTGACCTGAGGTAGTAATCCCAAAGTGAACGCGATCGGTAAAAGCAGCACCAGAGTGGCCATCAGATCGCGAATCGCTTCGATCACAGACGCACTCGCCACCGATCCGAGGCGATACGGATTCCACTCCCACGCGATCACCGTCTCGGCCAGTCCATGATCCCACCAAGCCACGTCGATCAACAAAACTATCAAACCCAATAAACAAAAAAACACCGGACGTGAATATGCGACAATCCAATTGAAACCGTGAATTGGAGATGCGGCATCCGGCTGCACACTTTTCAACAAAGAATACTGAAATTTTCCCTTGATTTCCATCAAACATCTCATATCAAGCATTAATAAAACGTATTTCTACACGTTTCGATTCCAGAATCAGGTAAGAGCACTTGCTCTACTCAACTAATGGATGACACACATTCAGGAGAGGAAGGATATATCGCACAGAGCACTGCTCCAATGTATGAATGCTGAATATCGTCGCACTTACATGTGTTCCGGCCACAACAATTGCGAACAATATCAGCGATAAGCCGTTGAAGATGGATCTGGTCAATAAAGAGCCAGCCAAACCGGCGACACTAACTGCGAGAATTACGTCGAATACACACGAAAGAATCGAGTTGTTACGATCGAACAACGCTGCGACGGCCAATCGATCCAACTGCAACAAATGATTATTCCATTCAAACTCGTCGATTCTCCATCAACAATTCCACTGAACCAATAATACACCAACGTTAATGAATTAAGAAAGGCTATTCGTGACATCGTACGTTGTTGCTGTATGTATAGGTGTACTTTAAGCTCATCGGCATGAACTAAGCTCAATTCTCGGCTCAAACATACTATCAACTTACAGCTGGCTTTCAATGGGCTAGAACATATCCCTAATATGTTCGCAGATGCCGAATTCAGCGCATAAATCCATGGAGTAAATTTTCAATAGTGTTCCTCAAATCACCTCCGAAATTACATCTCTCGAATCCTCATCAATAATATTACATTACAATGCTTCCAACAAGTAACTTCCCCGTAAAAAATTGAAAATTCCACCAGAAGATCATCACCACTTCAATGGAACCTTTCGATGAAATAACCAACCAAACACCATTCAAATTAATACCGGAGCGTCAAACACGTGAAATGAAAACGTTCGACACAAGAATTCAAAAATAGAAGATAAGGATTACAACTGAATAAAAAATTTGAGAAACGGTAAGAAAACCTTGAGTTTAATTCCTTTGCCGCTTTTCTTTGACGGGAACAGTTTCAATCGATAGTAATAACTTCGACTGGCCGCACTCGAATGACGACGAGCCTCTGCGGTACTGCTGACACCCAACGAGGTGATATCCGAGAAGAACGGAAGGCGGTGCAGAGAGGACGACGTGGAATCGCGTGCACTCGCACGAACTGCTCGAACAATGGATGCTGCTTGGCGCGTTTGACGATCTGAATCAATCTTTGGGATTCACGAGAAAATTTCGGAAATTTCAAGTTTTCTGGTGACAGATCCTTCATTACCTATGAATTAATCGCCAAGTAAATATGGTGCTTACGTGTGAAGTTGAATTTGAGGAACCTTCAAGTTGAGAGAAGGCGCGA